GGTTTCACCGTGTTAGCCAGGATGGTCTCGATCTCCTGACCTCGTGATCTGCCCGTCTCGGCCTCCCAAAGTGCTGGGATTACAGGCTTGAGCCACCGTGGCCAGCCAAAGGCAGAATTATTATAGGTTTTTTAAAAAATGTGAACATAGATGCAGCACCTACTTTTTAAACTTGAAAAAACTGGTATAATGTTAACTTTTAAAAGTAACGTTTGGACACACTAGTAAACTAGTAAACATTTTTGTTTACAGATTGTTTTGTTTACACATTGTTACTCTTTTGTTTCGATGAGATAGTGTGACTTTAAAATGTCTTAGAAATTAAAGTTTTACAAAAAGTGATTTCATATTTGGTTTATAAGCATTTACATGTGGGGCTTATCCTTTTGTTTTTTCCATCTTAAATACCATCATGGCTAAAACTTAAGGGAATTTGTAGGCTAATTCCATTTCAGTTTTATACAGGGCAGTAATAATTCTGATGAATGCTGAATTAAGGAAGAAATGGATATTTTCTTTCTCTGTTGTGCAGTTATTGGTAGATCAATTTCTTATAACCCAAAATGTAGCACCAATAATTGATAGCATGTATTTTATTTAATTACTTGAATTATTGAGACTTGTTTGATTTCTCTAATTTTTTCCATAAAAGGACTGAACAGCACCTACTTGTGGTCTGGGCAGCTTATCCCAGAGTTCTTGGAAGAATAAATGCTGTTAGCATCTGGTTAATTTACTGGCAGACAGAGACCTACTCGTCAGTGGCTTTCAACTCTTTGACCACAGTAAGAGATAACCCATCACACACATACACACACTCTCTCTCTCTCTCTCTCTCTCTCTCTCTCTCTCTCTCAGATACATATAAGCAAAAATGTAACAAGACAGTACCCATTTTTCCTAAGTATGCATGCTGGCACCTTCTGTTTTAGTTATTTTTAAAAATACTAGACAGACACTAAGTTATCTTGTGGCCTCCTAATAGATGGCAAACTTCAGTTTGAAAAGCATCCCTTTGGATTGTGGTTTGAAAGAAGAAATAATACAAAGACCTTTTTGGAGTATTTTTTGTTTTCTTGGTTTTTGAATATTGTTTAGGTAAAAATTATTGCTGCAAATATCACTGAAGCAAAAGTAGTGTGTATGCAAATTACCTGTTGCATTGTAGAAAATAGAAGTTCCTAAAACTAACAAATAGACAAAATTTCAAAACTTGGTGATTGATCCATATGTCTTGAAGGAATATTAGGCAATAAACTTAGCTTTTCAAGAGAAGTTATTCAACTTCCAATTCTGTGTTCTTTAATTCGGAAACATTTTTTTCCAAGGTTAACTATAATCAAATAGGAACTTCAGACAAAACCTCATTATTCTTGGATATGGTGTTCTGCTGTTACTTCTAAAAGTGCTACAGAAGTCAAGTTCATGAGCCTGGATTAAGAACAGCAGGGCGGCCCTGATGTTGTGAGTGGCTGTAGAGGACCAGAGTGATGTAGGAGAATCTATCATGTCTGAGCGTGAGGAGATGGAGAGTCACCTGTGGGCTGTGGAGCTGAGAACTGAGGTTTTATCACTTACTAAAACCGTTTTGTGGCTGTTCTAATATTTTCTTCTTTGCTTTCCTTTCCCTTTGAAAAGCTGTTATTGGATGAACGATGCTACTTACAAACACTGACACTTCAGAACCAAGCACATTTGTTACTGCTGTAGCTAGTTATAGTGATTCTGCAGCTTTTCTCTTACAGCATCTTGAAGTCATCCACAGTTATTCTGTGTGACTTCACAGTAGAATCAGAGAACGAAGTGACAAGTGGAGCGTCGTCCGTCTCCTCCTGCTCACTTCCTCCTCGCCACCTCTCCAGCCTAGCTTTCCTTCAGTCTGAAGAGTGATTTACTTTTTCTTTTCTTTTTAGTCTTTACTGTGGAGTCTCATCAAAGACTTGGAAGCAGGGGTGGTGAGAGGGGCCTGGGGTGTGGTGTGGAGGGTCGAGTGCTCTGTGGTCCCACAGTCACCCCCAGGACCACCATGCGAGCAGAAAATACACACCTGTATTTTACAGATAAGGAACGCCACTCAGAAAGCTGCAGACATTTGCCTGGGGTCACACTCATAGTGGGCAGATGAACTGGATGGAAATACAGGCCAGTACAACCGCAGTCTCATTTTTTCTTTGTTTTAGGTTTTCAGTTTCTTTTTCAGTCATGTACCTTACAGTTCTATTATCTGGTTGGTAAAGATTGATGACAGGTATCCTCATTCTAGATTATAACCTTTATTCTTATCAAATGCCTCCAGTCCCACAATTCTCTAAGAATTCTCTTTCTGGACTTGATACTGGTTTAATGATTTCCCCCAGCTCGTGGAATGGCAGGCTCCTAATTAAGTGGATTTAAAGGCAAAAAGGGATGTGTGAGAAGGCACAAGAAGTGGCTTCATCTTGCAAGGTGACTTCCAGACAACTGGGTTACAACCTGTTAAAATAAGGGAGGAACGGCCGCATCCCGTAGGGACTGCGGTAGCTGACCGGGAAGCCACAATGAGGGCAGCAGACAGGGCTCTCCCTGTCCGCCGAGTCCTCCCATGAACTCATGTTTCTGAAGGCCCCACTCTTTCTTGGTCAGTGTCCCAATTTTCATAGAAGAGACCTGATGAGGCTGTGGAGTAATTGTGTAAAAGCTCGCATTGTTTTCATGACTTGACTTGACAATGTGTCATTATCTTCAAATTGTCCAGAGAAGCAGCTACTTCACTCGGGTCCTTTTTATGGTTCTGTGGTTGCAACTTGGTCTCCCAAGCCTTCGATGGGCGTGCCATTCCATGGCCACTTTTCAGTAAGAAAATTACCTGATTTTCTGTTAACTGTCACAGGCTGCCCTGGACTACTCTCAGCACTCATGGGATTTTCACGACCCTCATCCTCAGTGAAGTCAGATGACCATTCCTGCCTTTCATCCCACCGATTTTCCTGAGTATCTGTTGCCTACAACTAACACTAGTTCCTGCGTCAGTAAAGTACTGCGCTAGTTGCAAAGAATAGAAATAGACTCTGCCAACATAAGCAGGAAAGGCGTTCACGGGGAGTGTATGGCATGGCTCACGGATGTCATGAGAAAGCCCCGGAAGAAGTGTTGGGCACAGCCCTAGGCACAGCCTTTCCTGGGCTCTTCCCATCACTGAATGATCCATGTATCTCCGGGACTGTCCCTCCCTCTAGATCCAAAGTTTGGGGCAGCAGAATCGGACTGCCCCGGCCTTTGACACATGCCAGTGCTTTGTCTGTCACAGTATGGGGAGAGAAATGTCAGCTTACAGAAAATTGAGGTTCTGTGATTCAGTTTCCCTCTGCTCTCTTACAATAAAAGTGCTTACTCATTGTTTAAAGCATTCTCCAAATTAGTCTCCAAATTTTTTGATGGTATGCATCATTAAAAAATGTTTGAGCACACCACAATACATGCATATTTATTCATAACTGATACATATGTAGCTATGTAATGTGTACATCACAAAACACATGAGAGTATTTTTTCTAAGGAATGAGATAAAAATAGAAATGTTGGTACTTCTCACCTTAGACGCTGGGTTATTCTGAGCGTGTGCCATGTGTACACCCACTTGGCTTCTTCCCCTTAGGCCCACACCCTGCCCTTTCCTTGCCCCTTGTAGTTACCTGTGGCTGGAGTGATGAGCGCCACTTCCAAGCGTGGCCTGGAACAATGTCCTCCTGCCCCTCCACCAGCGGTGGGAGGATTCACTGGGGACTCTGGGGCAAAGGAGACTGTGTCACAAGACAAAAGGGAGCCAGGGTCACACGTGGCCGACCCTCACCCTGCCTCACCCCACGGCTGACATGGGTTGGACGCCTCAGAAATCACGTGTCTTCAGCGAGCCACTGAGATTTGGGGCTTTACCTGTTACTTGGCTAGGGTTAACCTAACTGATAAGACTGTAACTGGTTACTGTAAATAACCAAGCTCCCAGTAATAGTAAACCAGTGACAAAAACAATTCTTATCCAGAAAGGTTCGCATTTTTTTAATGTATGAACTAAAACAGTCTTTATTGCTCTAAGACATTAAACTTTGCATTTTTTTATGTTGAATACAACTGAATATTTTCATATTTTATGACAAATACAGCAATTATTACAAAAGGAATATTAGGAATGGCAAAGGCTTCAAGGCAAAGTCTTAGTGGAAAACATTTGGAACTTAAGGAGTGTTTTACATTTGGAACTTACTGTAAGGAGTGTCGGTCAGACACTAGCTGTCTCTTAACCTCCATTTTTAAAAGCAAGCAAGCTCTCATTTTTTGCCATTCATATTTCAAGTGATTCAACTCATAAATTTGAAATTTACTTTTTAGAGACAAAAGACTAAAATTAGATGGGCTGTCATCTTTTAAAATATACTTAGATTTCCTACAACTACCAATAGCTTATTTCCCTGGGAAACAGATTGCATTGTAGTACTTAACCCAGAACTCATGCAGTTCATCCAAAATGATGGTAAACTTTGTTCCTCAGAATTACCTAACTTTCAAGAATCTTCTTCTGGTAGCAGGAGCGGCAGAGAGGACAGGCATGGAGAGGAGGCCTGTCTCCCACGGAGAACTCCTCCAGTGCGAGCAGACACGCATGGTGGAACACGTGTGAGCAGGACAGGAGGGCCGTCTCTCGGGAACGCTGGCCCGCCCCTACGCGCTGACCGCCAGCAGGGGAGAGAGGCGCCAGGCAGATGGAGCACTCGTGGGTCTCCCGGCGCAGAGCCTGCGGCACACGGGACAGGAGGAGGCCACACAGGTTAGTTTCATCACAGCAGAAAGTGACTTAAACTGAAATAAGCATCATGTGCCCCGAGACGTGGGTCTTCTAAACATGCGGAAGTTTCATTCTGTGTTAAAATCACATGGATTATATATATATACTCTGTTACTCCTGGGAACTGTGGAAAGGGTTAGTAACCTACCTGTGACAAGCAATTTTGAAACAAAAATACTTTCTAAAATGCTGAACATTAATATTTCCTTTTAAGTAAGCAGTCAAGAGGACTGTTTTTCAAAACACTTGACTAACTGCTAAACTTTCCCAAATTTCCTAATTTTACGGTTTTTAAAGTAAGTTTTCCCCGCCTTGGCTTGAGTCATCTCATGGTCGTTTTCAGGCGGGAACTTTCAGGAAACCTGGGAAGGTGATCTGTTCCCTTCGGTGTTTTCACGGTTCACAAAACGGCATCATACAACAGGAACTTCCAGAATTTCAAACCAAAGGGTCCTTTGCCGTCACCCTAAAGGCCACGACGAAGGTCCTACCATGGGTGCAGGGGCAGCTACGGCAGAGGTTACCCCGGGGCCCGACACTCCCAGGCTCCCCAAAGTGAGTCCTCGACCTCCCGCCACCAGCCGCTCCCCGCAGCCTCCCCAGCTGCAGCTGAGTCCGCTGGTTGCCAGGCCGCCAGCCAAGCCCACCTGTACTTGGATTTTCTCCCACTCCTCTTCTGTGATCTCATGGCCGTATTTTTCTTCGAACTGCTGAAGAACGCTTCGGTTTATGGCCAAGCACCGATCGATCTCTGCAAAGAGCTCCTCGATGTTGGTGTTGTATGAGCACAGGATTCGGTGGCTGATTTCTGTGAACTGGGGAGGACAGAGGGAGGGTCAGGCTCACACCCGAGCTTGGTGCAGGTCGCAGGGAAACGCTCTTGAGCCTGACCATCTCTTTTGGTAACCTTCCTCATCTCTGTCTTCAAAGAATACTTTTTAGGGAAATAGATGTATGTCTATCTTACTTAACTTACTTAACTATAAATCCAGATAATCTATCTGGACAGATGACCACAAGAACCCCTATGTAATGGGGTTCAGACTACACTACCCCAAAATAGGGCACCTTGGCACACTGAATATTTTAAGGAAAAAACATTCCTTCCTAAAGGAATTTGAGAAATGACAGCTGCAGGAGGGACCGCCTGACCTCTCCCCACCCCTGAAGTGGGTCACAGGACCCTCCTGTGAGAGGCCCCCTCGTCTCCAAAGACAGAGGGAGCCAGGAGTAGGCTGAGCACACACAGGCCCTGCTGTGGTTCCCACCCACCACCCTCAGCTCACTCCCCTTGCACGCCTCCCCATGGCCTCCGTGTCCTCCGCGTCCTCAGTCCAGCCTCGCGTAGAAAGCGCTCAGGCCTCACTGTCTCTTCAGGTCTCCACTGCCTTAGGAAGGCTTCCATATCAAATGGACTTATTAAGTAAATCTGTGTAATTTTCTTTTGTTAAACTTTTTGTCTAATTTACAGGGCTCCAGCTAAAGAATGTAGGAGGGTAGGGGAAAAGGGTATATTGTTTCCCTCCCCTGCTGTTTTCTTGGTTGTGAGCTTTGACCATTAGCAGGAACACATTTGAAATTAAAAGTTGAGAGAAAAATTTGAATTTTGCAGGATCAGCTCTGTCCCACGGAAACGTACTGTGAGCTACATATGTAATTTTAAAATTTCTGGCAGTCACATTAAGTTTTTTAAAAGGCAAAATTAATTTTAATATTGTATTTGACCCAACATATCCAAAATATTATCACTTCAACGTTTATTAATTGAATACAGTATTTTGGTTTTCTGATATTTTTGTTTGGTTTGGTGGAGACAGCATCTTGCTCTGTCACCCAGAATGGAGTGCGTGGGGCCATCAGTGCTTACTCACCATCGGCCTCCCAGGTTCAAGCCATCCTACACTAAAAAGGTCTGAGTCATTGCAGAGCGGTCACCGGTGTCATCTGAGGCTCGGAGAGGTAGTAGCTCATTCAGGGCCACACCAGCAGCTCCTTTTCAGGAAGCGTGAAGACGAATGTAAAGCAAAGGAGAGTAAGGTGTGTGAAAGGCTGTGCCAATGGTGACTGTCAGCCACGCTGCCTGCCCTCTTGCTTGTCCCTTCAAGGGCAGAGCTGTGGCTCACCCAGAGATGACATCTCCCATTCCCCCAAGCCCAGGTGGGTCCACGTGAAATAGTTCTTCCAGATGGACGTGGCTCGTGTCTCTTCTGGGTGTTCTCCAGGCCCCGGGGGGTGGCAGATGAAGGACAGAGGGAGACAGTTCCCGAGCCCCACAGGCCGGCATGTTGCCTGCAAGTCAGGACACCTGAACTGTCCTGAGACGGAAGCTCCGGCTTTCAGTCACTGAAATTCGAGGGTTCTTTGTCCAGCAGTTAGAAGTGCCCTGATTCAGGAGTTACATCTGCTTCATGGAATCAGGCTTGAAGCCCAAAGAAGGATGAAATGAAGAGGGCCCATGGGGATCTCACACATTTAGATGTGTGATGGGGAAAATGCATTTTGGATGGTCCATGATTGTCCAGGTTTCAAATATTCTAGTCTACCGGAGACCTCACGTTCTTTTTCTTTTTTTTATTTAACGTGGAGCAACCTGGCAGAAGGTCACCTGGCAGAATGTCATGTGTATTTAAGTCCCCAGACTTCGGAAGGTGCCTTTGAGGACATGGAGTTCTCTTCCAATTCTCTCCCTTCTGCAAAAAGATCGTGAGACAGCGCAGGGTCGAGTGCTGTGGAGACTACGAGCTGCCTTTGTCCCTGGGATGTTGGAAGAATGAGTACTGGCTTTAAGGATGAGAGATCCTTTTGAGTAAAGAACATTCTGTGAACACAGCGGGCGGCCCACAAGGGTTGGGGTTTGAATGAAGGGGGTGGCTGAGGATCTTCCAGGCACCTGTGTTTTGGGATTAGCCGTACTTGGAAGCCCGGTGGAAGCTGCTTTTCTATTTATGAGTCAAATTCTCTTTCACTCTGAATGTAATTATAATTGCCAAGCAGCTGTATCTTAATTTAGGGTCTTCAATTGGTAATGTTTCCTAAGGCTTTAATTTTAGTTTTCTTTGTTCCTTGGCCTTTCAAATATCTAATAATATCTAAATAAATTATTGAAAGTAGAAGAGTTCTCTATATGTTGTAAAAGGAAAAATTACTTGGAAATATATACAGTTACCTCCAATTGATGCTTGTAATTCAGGTTTTCTGTAAATTGTTTTTAAGTGTGAGATACTTTCCACATATGCCTGAAAAGCAAGATCTTTTCTTCCTTCAAAATTATACCTCAGAGAAAGGGTCACATTCTATCCAGACCTTGCGAAGTGTTTCAAGTTGTGCGGCATGTTCTGAGATGAGTTTTGAACATAAAAATACTATTTGGAATGATTGATAAATTGAGTGAAATGATCACTATGATCTGGGTGTTTATTCTCAAAGTGGGGCCCAGACCCGCAGCCTCAGCTCCTGGGAATCTGAGAGAAAAGCAGAGCTTCAGGCTTTGCCCCAGGCCTGCCAAGGGCAGTCTGGGTGGGGGGTGGGGTAAGCCCTGTAATCTGTGTTTTCCAAGCCCTCCAGGTGATTCTGAGGCCCATTCAGGTTGAAGAACCAGGGTCACAGAAGTTACCGATCACATTTTTTAAATATGCAAAGTTATTTAACACAGCATTATTGATCATTCCTGAGGTGTCACCTCCCAATTCCAAGCATGGGCATCGCTGTGAGTGAGCTTTCAGAAGCCACTTGAGGAACACAGTAAGTGCGTGGGCCACATATACATACCTACGTACGTTGCTATGCATTTATGTTACAGTATCACCTGTGTGTGCATATATTCTATCATATGCGAGTGTCCCTCTCTCTCTACAGGATGCCTGGAGGAATCCCAGCTGTCCTGATGTTACATGAATGAGTTACTTGCAGCTCAAGGTAAACTTCCAAAGACAGCATCATTAGGACGTTTAAAGTACATTTTCCTTCAAACGCATTAGATGGAAATAGAGCTTATATGCTCTGAACAACTGTGTTGGGCGACTCCTAAGTGCCCTATTTATGACAAAGACTCTGAGGTCCAATACTGATGTCACCTAAATGCCTCCTCCTGCCTCAGTCGCTGTGGCTTACAGGTCCTATCTCCTTTATTAAAACGTCAGATCCTGGGGCCAGGAGTGTTGTTCTTAACACTGATAATACCATCCAGGGTTTTTAAAGGGTTTTGCGTCTGTCATTACATCCCGCCTTTAAACCCTCTCAAGAGCTCAGTACGTGCACTGACCGTAGCAGGCGCTTGTTGAAAAAAACAGACTTGTTGATTTTGCATATATACCAAATAAATCTCAGGGAGAGTGGCCCTTCACACTCAGTGCTCCAGTCTTAATAGTAACTGGTGTAATATGGCAAGAAAGCAAATAAATGCTTAGGGTATGTTAATATACATAAGAATCACAAACTTATTCCACACTCAGGTGTTTGATTCCACACAAGAAAACCTAGCATGGCAGACGCAAATATCCTTTCCACAAGTTTTGATGAAATATTCCATTCCACAAGTGTTGTTATGTACTTTTGCTATTCAATTGAAATTTTTTCTAATTTCCATTATAATAGGTTATTTAGAACTGTTTATTAATTTCCAAATGTGAGAGATTTCTGTTTTTAAAAAACATTTATTTCTAGCCTCAGCTGCACTGTGGTCAGGGAACATACTCTACACCACCTAAGTTTCTTAAAGTACATGGACATAAAGATGGTAACATGAGATACTGGGATGACTGGGGAGGGACACAAGGGCTGAAAAACCAACTTTTGGGTACTATGCTCATGAGCTGGGTGACAGGATCATCTGTACCCCAAACATCGCCGTCCTGCAATACATCCAGTAACAAACCTGCACAGGCACCCCCAAATCCAAAAGCTGAAATTACAAAACATAAATGTCTCAACCTGTGATGAAATTTGCATCAGGGACAAGTATATGGTCAGTTTTTATAATGATATCTTTGTACTTTGAAAGAAAATATGTGCTACAGTGGCTCGGTGTGGTGGTCTACACCATTCTCTCTAATAAACACCTTTGCTTTAAAATCTCTTTTGTCAGGTATCACTATATCAGCTTTCTTCTGTGAAGAGTTTATGTGTATATTATAGTACGTCTAATATGTGATACACACTCACACACACACAGTTCTTATGTTTTCAGGCATCTCCTCTGAGTAACACGTACCTAATCTGGTTGCTGGAGCACTCAGTCCACTTTGTGTTGTTACTGACACACAAACGGCACACCTGTCCTGCTCTGTGCCTTCCATCTGCCCTGCCATGTTTTTGAAATTTTGCTCTTTTCAATTAAAATTTCTATTCTCTTTACTATTTTGAAGGTTAAAACTCTGCTTCTATTCTTTTAGCTGTTGCCCTAGAAGTACATACTTATACATTATTAAGGTCTACATTGGAATTTTTATCCCTTGAACCAATACAAGGATCTCAGCGTACTTCGTAATGTTCCTCTCCTGCTTTATGTTATTTTTGTCCTAAGCTCTCTCTCTCTCTCTCTCTCTCTTTTAACCTGAGACATGCTGATTCTTGTTTGGTGGAATCAATGACTATTAGATTTACTCACATTTTTACCACTGACATCTCAGATTTCCCATCTGGGGCCATTTTCCTTCCTCATGCAATGCATCCTTTAGAATTTCCTTTAATGAAGACACTCTGGTGGCACACTCTTTGTCTGATGGCTTTTCTTTTGCCTCTCTTCTTGAATGGAATTTTCATTTGGTTCATATGGAAGTCTAGGCTGATGGTTAGGTCTCTTCCGAAACAGAGATGT